TGCGGAATTCAGCTGCGTTTTTCATGGTGTAAACGTTTTCACGGCCGCGAGGCGACTCGAGACGAAATCGAGGCATGGACCACCCGCGTCGACGATCCGCATCTGCAATATGTCGCGTCTAATTGAATTCAGGAAAATCGATTGGACCCGCTTATTGCTTAGCAGGGTGGTATCTAAAGGAAAAATATAAAAGGGAACTGTGGAAAAGCTACTCGAATCTTTTAATAGTGTAGATGTGCGAGCATCTTACATTTTTTTAAATAATTTTTTTTGTAAAATATAAGAGTATATTTAAAATTATTTACATTTATTGTAAATAATTATAAGTAATTATTTTATGACATCGGGATATTATATGACTGCATATCTATCTACGATTAAGAATGATATGCCAAGGATGGAATAAAACGAATAAAAGAGGATAAATATTCTGCGCGAAAGAAAGAATAGATCTCTTATCTAAAATGGAATTATATTCGATAAAAGTTGCGTAAATACATTATAGATAGTATGATTTGCCCTTATTTATTCTGTCAAGATAAAGTGAGTACCGCTATCATTATAAACATATATATTCGTGCTCTATCATGATCCAATTTGTTAACAGCAGTATGCCACAGAATAAAAAATCCGTACTCTTTATCACACTTGGATTGTACGCGAATTCAATATATATGTTATATTTGCAACTTATATAATTAAAATCTTTATTTTGAATTTATAAATCCAATAAAATATGTTATAAAATCTAATTAATTTATTTGTTATATATATATTTATTATATATTGTTATATATAATAAATGAGATACGAATAACGTATTAATTGTTTATTCTATTTTACAGTTTATATTATATTATTTTGTAATGATATTTACTATAAAAATTTTAGAAAAATTGTTAAAATAATATAAAAATATATGAAATAAGTCACATGAGGGGGAACAAAAAATAGAGCAGTCCGAGTGTCGATGAGAGCATTAATGGCTAACAGTGCAGCCATCAGCGGACAGGAAGCTTCACATTGATCGTTCTACATTCACTTCGGCAAACAACCATGGCAGTCTGTCGGTGAGCGTCGAATAATTCGCTGCCCCTACTGCCTGTCTAAGCGACACAACACGGTCGAAAAGTTTCGGACAAGGCAACTCCGACGTTTAGCCCAAAAAGCGGTGCTTACGGGCGAACTCGGCGAACGACGAACATGTTCGGAATTCTCTCTTCATAACGCAATACGTCACGACCTTCCCGACGAACAATGCGCAAACACGCGATAAACAATTTGTTCGATCGTCTCAGTTGGCACGAAAAATCATATTATATACAATTTAAAACTCGCGAATCCTAAAGACGCGACGGTGAAATTTTTATTTCATTGTTTTTTTTTTGTTTCTTTTTAGCTGAATTCAAACGAGAACGGAATTACGGAATAGACGAAACGTTGGAGTACCGACCCTTTATTAACACCAAGCAATTAACGTTTTTAGAGAAAGCCAATGAGCGCTTATGTGGGTCGCCGAGATGAAAAGGCAATTGCACGCCCCTTCGCAGCCGTTATTTCATTGGGCGAGGTCGTAAATAAAAACGCGCCAACCCGTTTCTCCCCGACTTCGTCTTCGCGTCCCACATAGTCGCACCACTGCAACTATAACTGTAGCAGAAGTGCTGGTGTTTGGTGGGACGGGGTCGAGGATGCTAAAGTGGAGTCTTTCAATTCGCATCCCTCCCTCAAGCTCGATCTCTCTTCTGTCTCCGTGCCGCACGTTGTGCAGCGTTGGTAGAATTCATCTTGGCAAACAAAAATCATATTGCATATATTTGTCGTCTATTATATGAACTTTGCAAATCCGCGCTAGAGGATAGTCGATGAAACGTGAATATTGAAACACAGAAGCATATTTTGTGAAAGCATATTAATCGACGAGAGTTAAATGACGGCTGTTATATATGATTTTTTTTAGTTTTCAAAACTTCATTGCGTTGAAAATGTTTTTTTTTTTTAAATAAAGCTTACTTGCGTGTTGGAATTCGCTGCACGATAAAGTTTTATCAGTTAGTTTTTTGAAATTTAATTTATCTGAATATAATTGTATAAGTCTCTTCGATATTAAATAACTTTATAATTAAAACTTATTTAAATTTTTAGAGAAAAATTAAAGCTTTAATTATAAAGTACATCTTCGCTATTAATCCCTACGTTTCCCGACCACCCTGTATATACGCATATTCGCGTTACGATCAATACGTGCGTGCGGTTTAGGAAGATGATAGGAATTATCCTCTGCATTATATATACTTAGACAACATGTTACTGTAATATAACTACGTTAAGCAGTAACTACATCGCTTGTTTTTTGGGCATGTAGAATGCAAACTAACTTAATCTACCCTGTTAGATAAAGTAGTTATATCCAGTATCTCGTCAGACATTGCATTTATTGGATATTAAATTGATCCATTCAATCGAACAAAATTATTCGCGTGTATTTCGACGTTCTATAATTTACTGCTATAATTCGCGCATTAGATACAATTTTGTACACATTAAATATAAAAAGTAACAGTTTATAAAATTGCTACAATTATTAATGATTGTTAATGATTATTAATAATTATTGTATTTTACATTAAATTACAATTAAATATAAAAAGTAATAGCTTATAAAATTTCTACAATTATTAATGATTGTATTATATTTGAAAGTTTCTTAAACTTTAAGTTAATTTCTAAAATACATAAAATTTACCCGTGTTATGTGATTTTTTAAATAATAATCATTATCTTTCATTATATATCTGTTTGATTTTTGGAGTAGAATTCTGCTACGTAATAATTGAATTACGCAACGCGTGTTTAATCCGATATATAAGCCGATTTTATGTCAAATGATGGTGATAACAGAAAATATTTTATACATACGTTTTCTTTTTAAACGTTTAACGAATGTGGCATTTGAACGTTGTCTTTTATTTTTTTGCTTTATTAATGAAATATATTAACTCTTCTCCTCCCCCCAATCACGATCTTCTGCACGACTTCCTGTAGGCCAATAGCGACCCGAAAGGAAAGCGAAAGCTTTAATGCAGAAAACTGTTTAACTCAATTTCCTGTAAAATGGTTGGCGCTAATAAGATTCATGCGGAACAAAAGCGCTAACGTAAAACAGGTTACGTGACGCAAATGCACAATTCTCCGGCAGCCGTTCTGCGAAAAGCGTGCAACAATCCCCCTGGTCACTCGAATTTAGTCAGATACGAGAAATTCGGCTGGCCGTAATGCACACCGACACTACCGTGAAACTGAATTTAACGCGCTACGTATCAATTCTTTCGCTGCAATTTCGTTGTAATTTTGCCTACTCTGGCCGATGCGTTACCCGTCCCTCTCGGTTAAAGCATTACCGGATAATTACGCCATTAGCGCGATGATATTGCCCGTTCAAAGTGAAATTAAATATGTTAATTTGCCGCGTTACGTAAATTATTACCTTTAAAAGAAAAATTTAATAGCGTAAAAAAATTTTATCCGAGATCGGTATTACGTATTCTGCGGAGATTTTAAAACATCCCATCATTACTCATCGCTCGCTCATCATTTTTAAAATTAACCTATCACACCAATCAAATGAGACAAGACGCTGAGAATACAGAAGTAATCTGGACACCGGCCAGAAGCTAATTCCCGCAATTTAAGTTGATGAAGAAGACGAGACCATTTGCGAAGCTCAAACTTCTTCTTCCATTTCTATTTTTACGTGATACACTATAGCGAATGATAGATACCGATGTCTATATATTTGTCATTTATGCAAATGCAATTGTATGTCGACATTTACAAAAAAAATCACATGAATTATATTAACCAATGTTTAGCAAATGACTTTCTTAATCTGAAAAAAAAAACTGAAAAATCTGGAAAATATGTGATAACGAAAACTTGGCGAAATAATGTCTATTGAAATTTCATGACAAGTTATATCTCAAGACAATAAAAGAATCTCTTGTTTTTCATATATGTTTAGAAAATTCGAATTTGAAACAGTCCGATTATATCAAGAATACCTTAAATGACTTTGACCAGCTTTATTGATTCATGTTGGTACGTGGACGTATTTGAAGCGCAGGCAATCGCAAATGTTTACCTCTCACGAACACAGAATGCAGGATCAGAGTCAACCAATTATTTCGAGGCACGAACGTCTAGACCAACGCATATCGATCCGTCTCGAGTCTACGGAGATCCGTCAACGGATCCTGTCCTAATAAACATTCATTACCCGCCAAGCCGAGATCAACCCTCTAGATATTGGCAACACCGATGGTTTATACAAGATAGTACAGATCATAAGGAGAATAACTGAGCACTTGTATCGACCATGACATCAATATTTATTTCCTTATTGATTATTCCTTATATTGCATTATTTCATAATTATGTGCGAAACGAAATACAATAATTATGTCACGACGTTATGTAACGATACGCAAGAAATTGTTATCTGTTAAATATAAATCAAGAGATTTCTTGCCCGATTTTGCTTTATTCATCATGAATACATAAAAATAACGTTTTAATAAAAATATACTTGATAAAGCAAAATAATGAAATTTATAAACATCGCGATAAATATTGCTGATGCTTTCTTTTGTGTATTATGATCTCAGAGAGCGATCGATGACGCATGTCATGACTTCACCAAACATTCATTAGTGATCCGAGTATGCCCGCGAGATGTTTGCAAGAGCAGAGGTTTGATCAGGACAAGTCGAGATTGCTCAAAGCAAAACGATAAATTCGCTTCTTCGAAGATCGAGGCGCTGTGATGGAGAACTTCGTTGTAAATGATGACAGACGACATCATGAATGAAAAACATATCGAAAGAGAAAATAATCTCGAAGACAATTTTTCGAATGTGATATTGCTCTACGTGAAATCTTTCTTCGTGAATTCGAAGCTCGAACTAGATTATTATGTTCCATACGATTTCAAGCAATAAAAGTTGATGCAACGACGGCGGATTTATTATTTATCGGACTCGATACTGTCGAAGCGCAATTTTAACGAAATAACAGCGTATTAAAGAACATGAAACGTGACGGTTCACGATTATTTACAATTCCATTCTTGTATTGCCGTGAAGAGTAAATTTTGATGTCGCACGCCGCGCCAAGAATGCGATTCTCGAGAGTATGCAGTTCCTGTCGTTCATCGCGTGATATCTTGCAAGTATTATTTCCTTGTTGAAAACACAACGCGGACAGTCCGCTGGCACGTGTATGACATCTGGAATGAAAGCAATAATGACGGCCGCATCTATTGGCGTATCATCGAACGTCCGCGGACCTGCGATCGCGTGGGCGCTGTTGTCGTCCGAGCAATGATGTACGCGGCATTACACGAAGTAGAGGTGTTAACAGTAATAACACATTGGCGGGATCTATAAGAGCTGATCAGAATTCTCGGGCACGCATCCCCCTGGATTACCTTCGACGGCCAGCGTCCCCGTGGGTTGGCGTTCGTAACGTTGCACAATGTGCCGACAGTTTGTCCGCGTCTCCCCCTCCGCCGAAGTATCCCTCGCCCGATCGAGAGACAGGCTATCGGAAATTGTCCCACATCGCCATTATCGTTAATCAACCCTTATGTTTACGCACACTTACCCACCGTCCGTACCTCACTCGCACCTCTTGATTATACATCAGTTAAGTGTCGAGAAATGCGTGTGTACATATACATACGCTTCGCTTTATGGTCGCGAAATAAAGAGTAGAGCGAACATTACGACATTTCTCGTGATTCATAACCACTATTTTGTTTTATCTGCGTACACGACTTACGCTTTGTTTGCGCGCGACTCTGATCATTCGATAAGTCGACCAGTACATTACGATATCGAGTTTCGAATCAGGCCTTTTACCAGCGAAAATCGACATTGTCGGTGTAATATTCTCTTATTCTCGCATGCAGCAAACTGTCTTTAGCGAAACACGAAATATGCACCTTCTCCGCGGCTGAATCTCCCGGGCTCAATTTTTGGAAATATTGTCTTCGGCATTCGTGATACTTTACTTTCGTAAAGAATCGAGCGTTCTCGCGAAGCCGTTTGATCGCGACTGCAAGGACGTCTGGACGTTTATGGTTTATGACTCTCAGTATACAGTTATACGCTTTGGCGATATAAGAATGTATGTTGCAACACGCGGCATCGGAAAGCGGAGTGAATGAAAAAACTTACGACTTGCGCGGACAGATGATAGATGATTGCGCGGAACACGTAGTAGAACCGAGCTCAATCTTCTGGCCCGAGAGCGAAACAATACGGACGGCTGGTCTGCGATGCGGGAGAAATTAAAAAGTTATTCCCTTGATTTTTCGCATAACGCGAAGCGATAGAGCGCGAGTCATTGATCTTACCCGAGAAACAAAACATATTTCTCGCGTTCTCTCTCGTACGAGGATATAGCTTCATTTCGCGATATATCATAATCTCCGAGAATTCAACTGCGAGAGATGCGCGATATAAGAAAAAAAAAAGATAGGGAAAGTCGATCAAAGAACTGCATTAGACGTAGATCGCATGAACGATGCGACTTTAACTTATGACCGCGATGTTAAGCAACATGCAATTTATAAGGTCAAATGGGACATGAGTAATAAAACGCGGAAGGGTTGCACCGGTCTAGACCTGCGGGGGTATAGAGACCTAGAGTAGACGAGTTTTCGAAAGTGCGGACTCTGTGTGACACCGCACCTCCGGCGACACATATCGGGTATACGGTGGCACACGCGCACACTCGCGCGCGCACACCCTTATACAGTTGACATTCCGGAAAGACGGTACGCTCACCGTGGTGCACGTATACATATAAGATCGAGAAGACCTCCCGACGGAGAAAAAGGTAACCGTCGCGCTCCAGAGATTCCCTGGCCGACAGCCAAACACCCAACAACCAAGAAACCCTCAGACTCAACTGTATCCACTCCATCCAGGGACTTACGTACCTATCTCTGATCTTTTTCTCTTGTCTTTACGTGCCTTTCGCTCTTACCCCTCTTCGCGTCTCGCCACGCCTCGCCTCGACTCACCCTCAAATTCCATTTTCTAACTGTGTTTCTACCCCTTCTACGGCCACCAACTCACTGGCCCTTTTCGGCTGTCGCTCTAACTACGCCCTGTCACTCTCGCGCTATCGCTTTCGTTATCACTTTCGTTATCACTCTTGTCCTCCGTTGTCTTTCCCCCGAATTCGCCGGCATTTTGCAGCCGTCTTCGGCCCTGACGACCTCGTTCGATCGTCCCTACTCGACGTCCAGTTTTCCACTCGGAACATCGGCTCGCCGGTCTTCGTTAAGAGAGCCGTGTGCAGTGATTAAATAAAGAACAGGTCAGTCGACCGTGCGCCCTCGATTACGAGGTGGTGAAGCCCTTCCTTAATCCAGAGAATGCCACCCGATTTACTAAATTGCGCGCTTTTTGGCGAGTTGTTAGCTCGGCAGCGTCTCGAGCAGCGCGAGAAAAGATTATCGCGATGGGATTTACATTACTTACTTAATTTCGTTTACATAATTTCCAGTCTAGTTATCGTAACCGCGATAATGCTCGTTTCTCTTTGACGACGTCCTGACGGCGACGTATTTGGGTCGGCGGTGTTCTTACACGAGGATATTTCGCGCGAGCTTGTCTCTCTCGCGTAGCTCCCGGAGATATTTTGTCGTGCAGCGAATGGACCCTTGAAAGTAACGAAGTAACGCGATAAGAATTGCGACGCGGCAATAAAAACGACTTTAACCCTTAAATAACTGCCGTTCGAGGAGGGGGTGGGAGGCGGTCCGCGGCGCTCGCGAATCTCCGAGATGACATCAGGTAAAATCGGAGCACGTAGATAAAATCGGTATAGTCCATCGGCAAAATGCGAAAGTCACGTCATTAACCGACCAAGCGCATCGACCTAGTTGCTGCCGCGCCATTAGTAGATAATGACACTTTTTCGAGCAAAAGATGGGTCGGCCAGACTTCAGTTCACGTAGATAGAACGTAATCGATCGCTCCCGGTCGACGAGCGGCACGTTTCGGAGAGAATTTTTCTAAAATCGGCCCGAAACAAATACTAATGAAGGAAGACTTCGGAAGTATCTTCGAAGCGACTGTAAAAGAGGAATTGAAATCTCTCTTAAGGATCGCTACACGATAATGATCGCTCATTACTAACTTGATCGCATCGTTTGTCAAGCTTTCTTGGACAGGGATATTTAAGCTTATGCAAGAAAATTTTTTTGCCTTCCGCGCAAAGAAATATAGAAAGTCCAGATAATAGAAGATTGGTGAAATTGTATAGCAACTTCTTTACCAACAATAATGTCAAATAAATCGCATTTTATTTTATAAACAGTCATATCGCATTTGGAGAATATTTTTAATAATTTTGAAAAATGACATTGGCAGGCACATTAATTATAGAATTTATTTGAATTACAGGATTTTATTTATTATAAGTTTAGACATAGTTATCATTATGCCATTATCCTTCCACGAGAAGAAGAAAGTTCTTGCGTGCGTTGTCAGCGCACTTATAAAAGAAGAATTACTGTTTCCTTAGAGAAGTCAACATGAAAATACAGTAAATCCTTATACAACTGACTTACTCTCATTCCGATGGCATTGTCGGGGGATATGTTCGCTGCATTCGCTACGTTTGCATCTCGGCACGGCTTATTTCTTCCGAAAGTACCCCGACAGTGGCATGCGGCGCATCCCTTCGTGGGCGTTAATATTCTCGATGGGTGGTCCAGCGAGCCAGGAGCGTCGCTTTCGCCGAGAGGGTGGCTGCTAGAAAATATGCGAGATATCGGAGAACCCTCGATCAGTTGCGCCCACCTTCTCCGTGTTATCACCATGACTACCGGACGAAACAAACGGTAGCCGGCATGGCTGCTAAGCCTCGGCAGCCTGGCAACCAACCTCTCGCCCTGCGAGAATGAACCCGTCGCTTTGTGCTCCCAGCTGTCAGGACTCTCTCTCCGGCCGATAGAGGTTTCTATACCTGTACCTCTAGCCACCTACCAACGCGCGCGGTTCAACGGAATCGACTCATTCGCATCTGACACGCGCCAATTTATGCTCAGAATTACAAAGGAAACGTTACATCCTGTGTGCTGCGAGCGAGCCTTTGAGCTCGCAAGTGACGAATGGCAAGGCCGTGTCGATGACACAACGATTCCGATCCCGTTTCGCCAGATTTCGGTAGCAAATCCGATCTAAGATTCGGTTTGGATTGGTAGGGCTTATGATTGGCAGCAGTTACACGCGAACGCGTTTAGCTCTCTCTTTAGTGCGTACCTATGTCATCAAACGAATTGCCGCACGTCATCGAAGCACTTTGCATTAGAGCTACGATTAAACATTGGACAATTATAAGATTTAAATACAGATTTATTAAAAGATATATATATATATATATATATATATTGAAAAAAATCCAATGTCATGCCATAAATACATAAACACAGAAATCGGTATAAAACAATATAATGATGTTCCTTATCAGTGCGTAGTGAGTTATACTTAGAATCCAACGTATAAAGTAAAGATCCTCGGGGCGTAGACAGTGACAAATTGCTGCAGAAATAAGAGGGCGAAAGCGGTGGTTAGAAGAACCTTATGGACCAAAACCGATGTAGCGTCGGTATATCAAAGTAAACGAACGAACAAACTATCCTTGTTATTTTTTATTTTGTAACCGCTTCCTCCAGACTCACTCGCTAACTCCCATTATATTCTGCTTCGTTATTGATTCAATAGCCAATTTTCGCGCGTTGTGTGAAAATCTCTCTTCCAACGCAGAGAAGATATTCGTTTTACGTTACAATCGCCCGAAAAAAAAGAGCTTGTTATCGTTTCTGTTAAAAGATAGAATGCATCTTCCGCATGTTGATTATCTTTGTACGGAGTTATATCAATGGGGAGGAGATACTCTCACTGTAAATGCTTCGCGTGTTTATAACAAGAATCAACGGTACGCAATAAAAGCGCGTATACAACAGTTTAAATGTCCCGGAAGAATTCGTCGTCGATGACGTTTACGGACAAGAGAATATTAAGCATTATCCGATAAAGAGATTTAGCGATCTTGCGCTCGGCGAGACCGGGGCCGAGCGTCAGACGACTGCGGTCGATAGCAGGACGTCACTGACGGTTACATTAGTCATGAACGCATTAACTATACAGATAAAAGGAAGGCAGCTCGCGACGACCCATCAACTAGAATATGCATGACGCTACGAACCGACAGACCGGAGACCACGCACGGCGAACGAAGGCTAAATCGAATGGCAACGTCAGCCTGCCATCGGGCAGGAAAGAAAGTTTGAAAATTAATTATGCATGCGCGCGCGTCGCTACTCGTTGATGCCAGGACCTCCACCGAATTCGCTCCGACGATTGCACTTATCACTCTTCCGATTTGTCTGTTCGCGTAGTCCGCACATCTTCGACACAAACCCTCAACGTTTTCGATTAATTGAAACGCCTTGTCAATTCTACTATCCTACGTAGATCGCCCCAGTTCTTTTACCCTTGCATTCAAATCGATCGCTTTCGAGGCATGTTTCAGAAACTTAAGACATAATTAGAAACGATGTTAGCACGCATCCGTTCTGATCGTTCCATTTAAATAATTCCGCGGGCACTATACTCGAAACAGGGTTAAAGCACTTGCGAATACGAGAACAACTTGCGTTTAATAAACTCAATTATCTCGTCGCATGACACAGGTCAAGTTGCCGAGAGTAGAGGAATATCTGCGTCCGCCGCAGATCCTGTTACCTGTCTAAGTAATTAAGCAGTAGTTACGGCGGCATATGTTTCAGCGAAATGCCGCAGTATGCAGCAGCCATGAATCAAATGTACAGAAAATTGGAGCACGCTCGGAATGTATCGAAGAATTTCCGTTCGCGCTACATTATACTTTAGAGTAGAATAATGCAGGGAATATCTAGTATTATCGACGGATTAATTGAAGAGCGTAATTTTACGGTGTTAATTATCTGTTAAATTAAATTATTCAATGTTGTAACGGAGTTGTATTAAAATTACAATTGTTGGTCTTTGATTCTCTTGAAAGACGCTCGTAACGCGTATCCGTCTTGGACAGAATTGTTACAGCGGCGCTGATAGAGCTAAAGCGTTAGCGGGTATTTTGTAATCGCACCGTCGCGGTCGCTCGCGGTTGGCAGTTTGGAAAGCGGCGGCGTTTGTATCGCCGTTAACCGGTGCAAGACGGATGCGTTACTCGAACGCCGAGTGTGACTTTATGCAGCAGAGCATTAAGGACAAACGTTTCGCTGTGTGTTGCAGAGTACTTGATGTCAGGAAGTCCACGGAGTTATCCAGCACGATCCCCGGGGGTGGCTTCCACGCCAACCGTGACCAGGTGAGTTAGTATGCCTCCCGCGAATTTCGCCAATCCGTATACGCGAATGTGCGGCGTCGTCTCTCTCTCTGTCTCTGTCTCTCTCTCTCTCTTTCTCTCGTGTGATTCACAAATGGCGCATCCATATTCCGACCGGAATGTAACGTAGCGTAGATTTCCCTCGCAAGGCCGCGAACGCGAGTAAGCGGATTTTTCTCGCTAGGGCAGAGCAAATCGGTCAAGCCTTATCGGGTTTTACCTGCTGGCTGGGCTTTACGCGGCTGAATTAAGCCCTAGGCAAGGTACAAAGAATCGATGGCCCGCGACTGATTCGTTCTGAAGCCGTGAACACATCGTGACGTTCGACGGTTTTCAACCATCATCGCGCCTCGCAGATTTCATTATCGTTGCGTAAACTGCGATAGCTTTACGTGGTTAAAAAGTCAAATAGACACGACTGTTGCAAAAATAAAAACACCGAATTTATTGACAAATATCTAGGCAAAATTGTTTTTAACGTTTCTGACGTTTACATAAATACAATACGCATTGAATGCATTCTGCGTTAGTCGATGATTTTTACCCGTAAGCGACTCAAACGAACCGAAGGCCCATTTTCTCCGCGGTCGCGGGGAATATCTCCGCGACAAAACTCGAGCGCGAAAAGTTTTGAGAATCTAAATCAATCGGTCGGGAAGAGTAGACGAGAAGACGGCCGAGAGCGCGGTAGGAAGCGCGATAAGTACAGAGAACTCCGCGACGATCCAGCCGATGGGAGGCAGTTGAGAAAGAGCCGAGGAGGTAGAGAAAGAGACACGTCTAAAGATGTTCCAATTCAAATGAGTTGAACTTTTAAAATATTTAGAATGTTGAACAGGCCCCGTCCCGGCATTTCCATTTCGCTCTCCTCCGTCTCTTCTCGCGCCCAAGCGTGCCGGTCGATCGCCGTCGGTGACGCGCACGAAATTTCGAATTAGTTCGCTCTTTATTCTACCTCATTACCGTCCCTCGGCATTCCTCCTACTTTCTTTTCTCAAGCAACTAATGGCCCACTACGTGCCGCAATTCATATTTCATCGCTCGCACGCGGAATGCTTCCAAGCAACTCCGCCATACTAATATTGCTGATGTATCTCTCATTGCAATTTATATTTTATTTTATATGATTTTACAGGCGCGATATAAAAATATTTCTATTAATAATTTAATTTTCGAAAAAAAAAATACATGAGTTATTTAGAAAGTACAGTACAGTTGCATCAATTATGTAACGTTCTCGGAAAAAAGCATTATTTTGATAATTTATCATATATAAATATTTAAAATAACACCTACATCACACAATTGTGCAATACGATTGTATAAATAATAAAACGATATCGATATTTTATGAAACATCGCTCGCACCTTGGATTATCCAATTTATGTCGCGTGCCAGTGTTTAAGAGGCTCTCTCTCGGCGGAATTATTAATGCTCTCTATCGTTCTCTATCGTGCTTAATTTACCAAATTCCCTCGAATTAGGAATATCTGTACAGCGGTGCACACGACTATCTGTCTCGCGTAGTCTTATACGTAATATTGATTAACTATTTGATAGTGATTGACACTTGCTTCGCATTACGCATTCATAGTTAGTCACGCGAGTTCGTCGATCTTTTCCCGAGGATCTTGAACTCTGCTCAGGGGTATCGATCTCATTCTATACTTACGCCGCACGGCAGCGTCTCTATTTTGAATACCCACCTATCGGCAAAGTACCCGGGTATAAGACAACATTGTTACCATCATGTAAAGCCCATTTGTTTGATAATTCAAACCTCGGTATGTATACGAGGTATACACAAGACGTTCTATTGACATATCATCGCGCAATTTGCCGCAGCGATCTGCTAACGGTGATCACGTGATCTTCTTAATCATAAAGGATACCAGACTATTACGTCGCGGGGAAGGGGAAGGGGGAGGGACGGGGGACTGATAACAGAAATAGAAAATTAAATCCAGAAATACCGTCACTTCTCCGATAATCGCATCGACCCTTAACGCTTTCTCGCAGTTTTTCACTGTCGGCCGTATACTTTTTTTTTTCCTCTGCCCGAGAAAGCGCGTACCGGTCTCGGCAAAATGACGAGAGTAGAAGGGAAGGGCCATCGGTGTCACCGGAAACAGCAGGTCAGCGAGACGGAAGGTACTCTGTTGCTGAGGCAACGCGGCTAAAAGAACACGCGCGGGGCCCTTGTCCGAGAGAGCGAAGGAGAGTTTCCTCCCCCTCGTTCCATCCTTCCTTTTACTCCGTCGTCCGTCCGTTACGCCTTACCCCCGACTTCCTTCTAAAGACTGCTAACGACCGAATCCGCCGAGAACACTGATCACGATAGCTCGGTGCTCACAGAAAACCGCGACTTTTCCCAGTGCAAAATATAGCATCCGATATTTCCGAAAAATCAAGTAAATTCTCTTTGTATAGTTTTTCTCGTGTCTTTGA